CCTCCTAGTGTATACGGCAAGCAGAGCTCTTTGGGGAACATAGGTCCAAGTCCAACCTCAAAGATAACCGTGGACTATATTTTTTTGCTGGATTGTCTTTACAATACTTGCTACAATGCTTAAATTTTGTTTTAAGGCTGATTTGAACCCAAACACACAGGGTTTATTTGGTGAAATACGAAGGCAATTTCATTTCTGAAATAGTGTTTCATGAATTGGGCATAGCGGAGGTTCAACAAAAGTAGATTTTTTTCACCCTTAGCTTTTAACCTCAAGATAGTGTTTTATAATATTAATATACTATACTGATATTGGCCTTCTTTGTGGTAATACAATAAGCTAAGAATATCAGACATTGAAAATAACTAATTTTGATGTAATGGAAGCACTCATGGGATTATCTTTATTGGTGGAGAATATATTCGTTCACAGAGGTGATCTTAATATGATGATTCATATTTTTAAAAAAGAATTATATTTTCTGATGCTCTGAGTCATGTCCTACTTAAGAGATCCACTTTTGGGCTTATAATGAAGCACTGATGAATATGAAATAAAAAATAAAGATAACTGGTACCAGGACTTTATTAGGCATTTCACTGGATACAAAGAAACTTTTTTACTTTAAGAACACAATCTTATCAAAAAAATTCACATTTGCTAAACAGAACCGTAGGCATGTATTTTATTTACAACCACATTGTATCAATGACCAGATCCTAAAAAGAGAAGGCACAGATCTGTCTCCCTCTGGTGAATTTCCAGTGTCTTAATGAAGGAAATGTCACCAGCTCTGCAAATTCTCATCCTTTAGAAATGAAGCAAATCAACACAAAGGTGTGCAAGCAGGGGCCATGAGATGGAAATGTTATATTAACAGATGTGGATTTTCATATCCCTTATAGGATAAGAAAATAGGAATTTAGGAATTTCAAAAGAGGAGGTAGGTACCAAAAATGTTCCAAAACTCTATCCACATTCAGACTATGTCAAGGATTCACTGTTGGAAATCAGTATTTGAAAACTCTATTTTAAGAATTCTGATATGGTTCTATTCTCCACAAACTGTTCTAGAAACTGACCTCAGATCTCACTGTTATTCTGGGGTCTCTTGGGTTTCCAATTCCTCAGAAAAAGTGCTAGTTGTTATAATTTGCTTTGGCAAGTCTGTCTGTCAGGTGCTAGCTTCATTGTCAGGGTCCATATTCTATCCCCCACCGCCCGCTGCCCAACTCCCACCCAACCTCCTGAGGAGGTACCGACAGGGCTGTGTCTACACCTCTTCTTCCAGTAGTCAAGCAAGTTCCTTTCTATGTCAATTTTCTGCAATTCCGTAGATGGCCAATTCTAATCTGATAAAAACAATTTGTGGTAAGGTGTTAATGAGGGGAGTAATGGATTCATTTGTTACCCCTCTGAAAGAAAAAGAAATTGAATTTTAAAAGAGGCCCTGGTACTGAGTTAGAAGGTGCTCCCAGTTTCCAGGGGCATTTTTAATGTGTGTGTGTGTTTTTGGTTGTCCCAATTACTAGGGAATGCTACTTAAGGGATTAATGGGGGAGACTCTGGACCTTGCAAGAGGCCATTGAAAGGAAATTTTGAATGTGGTGGCATTACTCTTATAAAGGTACTTGCTTGATTATTCCATCTATGCTTGAGTTGGTCCTTCATAAAGCATCTGGGGGACTTGGCATGGACCAATATTTTCCTTCATGAAGGGTATTCAGATGATAGATTTTCATGAGGTATCTTAACATAGGTTACAGAAAGAGGTAGGATCTCACCTCTTATAGGTAGCCCAGCTGAAAAAGGTAGAGAGGCAGGATGGGTAGGGTTGCCAGATTAGAAAAAAATACAGGACACACCCAGTTAAATTCGAATTTCAGGTAAACATTAAATAACTTTTTAGTATAAGTATGTCTTATGAAATATCTGGGGAATAGTTATGCTAAAAAATATTCATTGTTTATCTGAAATTCGAATTTCACTGAGTGTCCTGTATTTTACCTGGAAACCTTAAGTACAGAATAAAACATAAGTGAAGATGGAGAAAGAGAGGAAATAAGAAGATTGGTTAATATTCCATAATCAGATCCCAGGCCTAAGGAAGATTCCAGAGTCTTTGCTTCAAGCATGACCACCTGTGCAGATCTTTGAATTAGTCATGAGTTTCCTATTGCTAGACTACATGGAGGCAGATAGCAAAAGTGTGTAAGAGTATTGCACACTTATTTTCTGAGAAGGGAACCATAATGGGACCACCTAATCTTGATGGGTCTTTAGTGACTCTCACAGAGCCAAGGCAGTTCATCTTACTTAGGAAGATGCACATTTTAAAGAGTAATGGTTTGGAGAATCCATTTTTCTTGGAAAACTTATCCTTATAAGCAAAATAGGTTCCATGTTTGGAAGAACAGCTTTAGAAGTGCACTGATTCTATTGCTGATGGAAACGAATGTGAATTTACTCTCTGAATGATAATGAAGTTAATAAATTAATTGACATTTGAAAATTTTGAGAAGCATCAGGTGCTCCGCAAGCTGAACTTATGGGAACTCATAAGTTCTAAAGCACGTTCCTCATATGATTTTTTAAAAAGGCCATTTTTAACAAAAACATAATTTCTCTTTAAATTTTAATCCCAAATTGCAACAACAACAAAAAACGGCAATGAATTAAGGCTGGTCATAATGTGCCCTTTTTCTTTAGGATAAGTTTGATTTTTGATAAGATACAATATGCTTACACACACGTATCACATATAAGCACAAACTTTTGACTCATACCAATATACATTTAGAACTAATACCTACAAAATAGTATCACAAATGAAATAAAAATTACACAATTTTCAACAGATTCAATCAACACATTTTACAAATTCTACGGAACATTTTATCATTGTCATTGGGAAAACAAACAATTTAGAGCATTATTTAAAACTGAGTGTAACACACGAGCCACCAATAAGTTATGGCAAATATAGCATTTACACCATTGTGTCACTGAAATCTAGTCGAAAAGACTAAAGTGCTATAAAATAAAATACTTTTAAAAACCTTGTATAGCATATCCTGAGGGACACTGTGCATTATTTTCTGTTGTCAATTCAAAATTCGAGCACTCTACCTAAGGAGCTCTCGTTTGGATGAGTGACCAAAGGTTAGAAGATTGTGTCATTGAATCTGTAAAACTATAGAACTGAAAAACTCATGAAAACATACATTTCCTGAGACTTCCAACTTTTCAGTCTGGAATCCTAACAGGGGAGAACCCGAATCCAGGTAACTGTGGCTAAAATATGTCAGAACCTCAACAAACTGAAAACAACTCTAAGTGAAGGTGCGTATTTACTTGTAATTTATATTCAAGTCTGTCTTCAATTCTCCAGCTTGAAGTTAATTGACAATGTAGTTAGACTACTACTGCTAGGCATTTCTCATTTATGATGGTCTCATTTTTCATTCGTTTTCCAGTGATTTTTCTCCTCTTAATTATTTAAATATTTGAATTATGTTTATGCCTACTAATGTAGGAAATATTGATTCTAAGAGTTAAAATTACAATAGAATCAGGTTGATTGACTAGAGTGTGGTTTCAACTTGTATGATGTATGTGTATGGGATGTGCATGCCGTGTGTGTGTGTATGTGTGTGTGTTTGCATGTGTGCCCACACACAGGCACATACATGCAAACACTTATGCTCTAATACATTCACTATTAGGTGGCGCTCCATGAAAAGTGACTTTTCCTAGTATGGCTGAAAGTGAATATTGAGGTCATCATATAGAATATCCTAAGGCTTTTAAAAGATGCCTCCTCATTGTCTGCATTCACATGATTGTGTTGTAATAAGGGAGACATAATGATAACGGCAGGAGTCTTCGCCATATTAGTCCTTCAAAATTACAGACAGGAAAGCAAACCAAAAAATGATACTTTTTGCATATTTTCCCTCATTTCACCCACTTCTTTGATTTCCTGCTGTAGATTGGGTAAAAGTTGTATTTTGTTTCTGTTTTTTGCCTTACAAGACTTGTGACGTAAAGCCTTGAGAAACAAGCAAAACAAAAAGTGCACCAAGATATATCTCCTACCATCTTGGGGCCTATTTGTAGCCCTTGTGCTCCTAGCTTTCTGGAAAGACAATGCCCAGCTAAGACAAAGGAGCATAGGCTCAGGGTAAGCTCTGATTGCATATCACAGTCCTCACTCCCACCTCTTTATTTGAGGCCCACAGCCCGCTCCCTAAGGGTGCTCCAGGGCAGGGCCAAATGGACAGGAGACAGCCAAAGGCACCTTCTCTCCATTCCTCTTTCAAAGGAATCCCTCCTAGTGAACGCTTCCTCAAACTGGAGGACCCACGGCTTACTTCCATCTGTTCCCTCCTCTAGAAATTAAGGCAAGTCCATTTACTCGCACTGCCTGCTACATAGGTACTGTACGTCCAAAACCATAACATTGGCTTGAAAGTACCTTTTGTCAAACAAGGTTTCTACATGCATATCATTAACAGCAATTAAAAGCTTTCTCCAGTTAAGAAACTGCACAGTTAGTCTAATGCTTCAGGGTGTTTGTTTTTTCCAGCACCCAAATGACAAATATGACCAGGCTAGTTCTAAGCAAACATTATAAGAAAGCATCTAAGTTCAAGAAAATACAACATAGTTACCTCTATATTTAATTCATTTTTCATTAATATGTTCAAAGATCTGTTTTCTGTCATATTTATAAGTTAAATCCTTGTGTCACCACAAGTGTGCTTGGCTAAAGATCCTCCTGAGGGATGAATAATGAATAGTCAGAGAGAGAATCTGCCCGAAAAGCAAATTTACAGGACATAAATTTCAATAATCCATAGTCCTTTAAAAAAGATTCATATTCAATTGCACATAAAGAGCACATGAAAGAGATAGAAAGGCAATAAAACTGCAAGAAGAGGGAAAGCAGAAAGAAGACTATATTTGTAAATAATTAAGTCCCAAGCTAGAATATTTTCACAAAAATGTGTTGATCAGCTACTCTATTTTCAAGGTCTTATAACTCTTTTTCATACGTTGTTAAGGGTTTCAGTCTGAAATTGTTTAATATTATCAATGTCTTCACTTGAAAAGAAGAATTGTGACTGTGTCTGTCCGTATCTGTGTGTGGTTGTGTGTATTTGTACCTGTCTGTCTGCAGGAGTGGGTATATATTGGTATATTGTGTATGCCAAGACGTGTACACACAACTGGAATGAAGAATATATCTGTTGCGTGTGTATGTATGCTACTTGGTCTACCAAGCAAACCTATACACTTTTCATAAACATCCTCTTCAGTACAAACAATTTCTATAATCTCCCTCTGGTGGCTAATAAATACTATTTTCTGATAATGAATATTTATAATCTTGTCATCAACTCTGATTATTTATAATCTGGCTATACATAATCTTGGAATCAACTCCTTTACCTAGGTCTAAGAGATCAAACCACATGTCTTACATTTAAAGTAATTAAAAGCTGAGGGCATGCCTTTATTTCTCTATGGTCCTACTTGCATGGACTGTATTTTCCCAGAAAACTACTGAGGTGTGATTGTTTCTAAACATGAAGATAAAATAATTCAAAATTGTAAGAATTTCAGCAAATTTTGTAGATTTTTATAAATGCCTCACAATATTCTTGTGAGGCACATAGGTAAGGGTTATTGTGCTCTTTTAAGATTATTTCAGAGTTGTTTAATATCACAAAGGTGACAAGGAGGAAGCAATGCTCAAAGTTGTGTGATCATTTTTCTTCTCTGTAGACCTGGACTGTGAAATGTTGGCCACAGAAACTTTCTGTGAAACTTTTGCCCTGCCTCAATCTCAACCCTAGGGTAGAATGGAACCCAGAAGTGATGAGTCAGTACCAATTTTCAACAAGTCTGCCCAGAACACATGAGTTTAAGAATCTCCTAAAGATTCATGGATCCTTGAGATTTTATGGACATAGTTTGAATAACATCGCTCTAACTCTTTCTGCTGCCTTTCCTCCTTCCTCAACTTTAAGCAAAAAACTAGAATCAAAGCTTCTTGAAATACATTCCTCAAAATCTGGGATTTAGAATTACAGATTTGGAAATTCCACTTTGGTAGGAAAGCTTGCACAATCTTTCATTTCTTTCTTTCTTCTTTCTTTTCTTCTTTCGATCAAGAGAATTGTTAGGAGAGCTTTTGTAAGAGTTCTTTGCAGAGTTTTCTGATTTTTACACACGTCATAATTTTTCATTTACTGAGCATTTCCCAGGCAATATTATTTAAGAGATTCCTGAATTAAAATGGCATCTATTCCCCCACCCTCCCCCTCCTTTTTTCACTATGGAATTGGCACTAATAGTTCTTCCAAAAAAATTTTTACTCTATATTTATAGCTGCCTTAAATAGAAATACTGTGAAACACTATTATTTTCATATAACACAAAAATCACTGATTATAGCCTCCAATATTAGTGATACAGGGAAACCGATGTGATGCATATTTTCTACGACCAAAAGTTAGCAGTGATTGCCCAATTCAGATGACTACAGACTATTATACCAAGCCCCACAAAACAAATAAACTTCAGTACAACAATGTAATACACGTTATGTTGGGCATTCAATTGTTTTGAGACCCATACAGCATCTGATTAAAAAAAGCGAGCTAGAGAGGGAGTGGAAAGGTTAGGTTAGAGGATATAGACAGTGTAGGAGTCCTACGTTGAAATCAGAAATGCAATCAAGTAAACACTCATCAGTTACAAGTTACAAAGACTAATTTTGAAAAACAAAATTCACGGGTCTTTTTTTATCCCTAACACTAGAAGTATATTTTACTCATCAAATGGGAAATGAAATATTTATACTAATGCAGACTATGATAACAATCACTGAAGAAATGGTTTCCCCCTTTTCCCACCCACTACCAGCCCTAATACCCTCAGAGACTCAGTGGAATAGGAAAATCAGAGTGTTTGTAGATAATATGCCTAATACAATGAATCTTCTCTATCTTATTCATGAATACTCCAAATGGTACTATCAAGTGTTGGCTTCTCCTTCATCAAAGACATAGTTGAGCTTTATGACGGTGCTGATGAAATCACCAAGTTCTACAAAATCAGCAGTGACAATATTGATGCCACTCTCTCCTGGCTTCTGTGTGCGGACCCACTGCATCATGGCAGGAAGAGCTCTGAGAAAGGAAAGAAAAAGAGAAGTCACAGAAAGCAAGATATTATTTTTCAAGCTCAGGCTTTCTATTAGTTTTCCACCTTACTAAAAGAAATGTCCCAGTTGTAGGTACAGAATGGAGAAAAAAGGCCAAACGGACAATGGTAAATTCTTAACCTCTGCAGAGACTCTGCAAGAGAAATATTCACTATATTGGTCTATATTGGATTCTGCACCTTTGGAGATCTCCAATGCTATGAGAGTTCATAGTGAAGCTTCCCTACTAAGAAAACAACATCTTTGCACTTGTATTCTGATTTGGCAGGGTATGATTGCAAACCTTGCAAAGCTATGGGGTGGTAAGGTCATAGATGAATACATGCACTTAGCCAACATTAATTATGAACCCACTATTTGCAGGAAATGTGTTAGATATTATAAATAGATGTAACAGCAAAAATCACTGCATTCAAAGAGTTCTCCATTTGGTGGTGGGCAGATGGACAAGAAAGAAAATTTTAATATAGTACAACCAGGGATCATTCCTTTAAACACATTACTGAGCATCTTTTATATCCTATTCACCATTGAAGGCACTTGGAACTAAGCTTACACTCAACTAAGGAGAGACAGACATTAAATAATCATCATAAGTAAATTATATCATTTGATAGGAGGGAAGAAGTGCTATAAAAATGGAGCAAAAAAAGGAGGATTAGGCATGTGCAGGTGGAGAGGAATGGTGTAAATTGCAACTTAAATTAGGGTGGATTCATTGATAAAGGGACATTTGTGAAAAGGTTTGAGGGAGACAAAGAAGTTAGTCATGTGGATATCCGGGGAGAGCATTTCAGCTACTGCCAGGGCTCTAAAGGGTAGCATGCCTAAGCTTGGAAAAAGAAAGGAGAGTGTAGTAAGAGACGAAGTGAGAGGGATAATGAGGAAAGGGGGACAGATCCCATAGGGCATTATAAGGGCTTTGAGGTTTACTCTGAGTGAAATGGGGATTCTTTGGAAGATCTTGAGCAGAAGAGTGGTGTGATCTGACTTTCATTACAAAAGATGATTCATTATCATGAAAGAAGAGAGTCACTTAGCTTAGCCTGGGGAGTCAAGAAAAACTTTTCAGAAGAATGGTTCCTGAATGTTGAGGGATTAGGAAGATTTAGCTGAGTTAAGGTGGGAGGAATGGGGGCTGGAGGATGTGTAATGCATTTTCAGGCAGAGAATATAGCATTTCTTCATTGACAGAAGTATGGTATGTGTTTAGGAGTAGGGCATGCTAATAGAGAGATACAGGTGACGTTAATAATTTTGCACAATATCCTATGAAGGCATATTGACGTGAAATCTACTATGGCCTGAGGGGGCAGGAAGGGAGGTTTCCATGAGAAAGACACAAATAAACTGAGACCTGAGAGAAGACAGTGCAATAACAAAGAAAGTGTGGGGGAACACATGCGGACATTCAATTCCTGGATGAGATAGAGAGGGAAGGAAAGACAGAAAAGGAGAGGGGAAAGAAAGAATGATGTGAATAAGAATCTCAAAGAAGTTATATCAAAAAACTTAAGGAAGTCTTAAAAATGTTGGAGAGATAAGAAGGAATCAGGCTATAGAAGGCCCTCAGAAATGTAGAACAACTGAGAGCTATTAACCAGGGAAAGAATATAATTAGATCTATGATTTGGAGAGATTAGTTTGCCTACAGTACAGAAAAATGAATGAGACAGAGCTAGACTAGGGGAAGGAATAATAATTAGGGAGCTGGGAAATAATCTAGGCCTCTGATGGTGGTAGCTTAAATTGTAGTAGCAATAATAGATGTATTTGGAAGGAACTGAGTTGATAAAATGGCAACATTTGATTAGTGTGGGATTGGGATAATACTCTGCTGCTATTCATATAGTTTTCATGGCCAATTTTTTCCAAAGTCGGTGGCCAGGTCCTTCTTCCTAGTCTGTCTTAGTTTGGAAGCTCTGCTGAAACCTGTCCACCATGCGTGGCCCTGCTGGTATTTGAAATACCGATGACATAGCTTTCAGCAGCACAGCAATACGCAGCCGCTACAGTATGACAACCGACAGATGGGTGGTGTGGTTCCCTGACCCAGAAATGAACCCAGGCAGCAGCAGTGAGAGCAGCGAATCTTAACCACTAGAACACCAGGGCTGGCATGGTACTTAAATATAGGTCTGATATTCAGGACACAAAGCTGGTTGAGAGCCATCACAGAGAAAGGATAGTTAGAGTTGTAAGAGTGGATAAGATTACCTGGGGAGATTTTGTATAGAGGAGCAAATTTGAAGATAGCAGCATTTAAGGGATGGGCAGCCATCCTTAATAGAAGAGAAAGAGAAGTAGGCATAGAAGATGGAGGAAAATCAGGAGCACATAGCATCATGAAAATCAAGGAAAAAAGGGAGCCACGCTCTTCCGGGTTCGTACCGTTAAAGCCTGGAACGCAGTGCCTAGGCATTTCTCCAGATCTCAGAAAGTATAGTCTAAACAAACTCAATCCATCCAGGCAAAACTGGGTTGACGGCCTTGGATGACATTAATCCTGTAGGTAATACCTTAAAAATTCTGATCCATGCTTTTCAGCATATACATTTTCCTGTTAAACACAGATAGAAGAGGATCCAATTGCTTCTAAAAGAGCATAATGTGGATCTAAAAAGCCCAATGCCTTCTGAAAATAGACTGGCAGGTGGAGAAATTTGGCCCTCACAGCAACAGTTTCAGAAGAGAATTCTGCCTCAAAATAAAAAATCTGGATCCTTAGAGCACAGACACAAGTGTGCTCAAGTTCATTAGAAAGACAGATGCTGCGGCAATGTGTGTGCAGCCACGGGGGTTTGAATTCCATTACTTTCTCTTCGGGACTTGCTAGAGCAGATGATATATCTCTGTTGTGAATGCAGTATCACCTCAGCATTCTAGAAAAGGCAGACCCTCTTCAGAAAGACTATCAGAACCAGTGCATTTCCTGGGAAGCATGGTTGTTCAACAGATATACTCACCTTGAGAGGTGAGAGGTGGAGTGGATGAGAGGGATGCTGAGGCCACTACTGATTCTGTATTAACCTAGTTCACCAGATCCCTGGGGAACTAGGTCATGGGAGGTTCCTGAGCAACAAAATTCCCATCTTAGAACCACGACCATCACAGAAACAGCTCTTCAGGTGCCCTCCACTACTCTAAGATCAAAATTCCTGGGCCTGAATTTAGAACAACTAATTGTTATTCCCATGGAAAGATGTTAGCAGAACACAAGAGTGCTCTTCTCTGTTTCTCTATAAAATAGATTGTTTTGAGGATTGATGAAACATCCTTTGCAATAGCTTGTAGTCCTCAGATGAAATACAAGTTTTACATTTAAAATAACGTTTCTCTGAGTCACGAGAATATTTGTATTTTTCTGTTCAGATATACTTTCCTAAAGTCAATGTGACAAAACTAGCAATAACACCAAGTTGAATCTCAAATCCTCAGACAGTCTTAAGTAGAATTAGGTTAAACAAAAAGATTGAATATATTGGATTAAAACTAGCAAATGCTACTAAAGTTACAATAATTATTTAGAGCAGCATTTCTTAACTTTTTTTCATTACTGCTTTCCTATGAAGCCTTTTAAAATATTTTTTGCCTACTCACCCTTCTCCTCTATGAAATTTTAATACTACAGATAGGCTGTGTATCTGTTTATGTACTGTTGTATATCTGTGCTGCATACATAAAAAGAGCAAATTTTTTATTTGCTCTCCCAAGAATCACTTTTTGCCCCTTTGGGGACAATATGGACATCGAGAATGCATAATTTAGAGCTACTTAGCAACTTCCGATTATACTTAGTATTGGACAGATAATTATGGTGAATTGAAAAGCCTACTCTGGTGGTAATAATTGGCTCAATGTAACAATTTTCTTGGTGTAAGATAAAGTAGTTAAAATTTTATTTTTTAAAATCACCCATTCATTCATTCAACAAAGATGTATTGTACATCTGCAGAGGACAGTGTTCTAGTTATAGCTCCCTACAGCCCTCCTGGAGTTCAGATCTTCCTCATCTCCCTTGGAGAGATGCTGCCCCCACATTCCTTCTTGTGCCTTTTCTACACTATGGTCAGAACAATATTGCTCTCATCTGAGCGCATTATTCCTCTACACGAACAACCGCAGAATCTTCTCTCCCCTACAAGACACACCCAGCTTCTTAGCAGTGTGGCTGAGTCCCTCACACCATTGGCCACACACACCCCTCTTCGGTCTCATTTGTTGTTACTTCCTACTTGCTAATTTGTTCTCCCGTAATATTGAAATGCTTGTATTTTCCCCCAAACACACCCTGTGGTTTCATGCCTCAGTATTTTTTCAGGCCTTTCCTCCATATGAAATACCATTCCCTCTTCCAGTATGATCTGACTAATTTCTGCTCATCCTTCAAGATTTGGCCCAGGCATTATGTCAATCCCTGCCATGCAAGTCTGGGTGAAAAATCCTTTTCTTTACTCCTTAAGCTTTATACTACTCCTTAAGCATAGTTTTGTGACTCTACATTGCACATAGCATTGGGATTATCCACTTCCATGCCTATTTCTATCAGTGCCTGAACGCTTTTTAATAAACAAAAATCATATCATAGCCTTCAATATATCCCTCATCAATATATCTACTACAACCCCTGGAACCAAAAAGGAAAACAACACATTTGTTGAATTCAGATGTTGAACTAGAAAGCCTGGTCTCAGATGTCTCAAAGTCTAACCAAAATGGCTATGAACCAATCATGACAATACAATACAGTACAACAGTCATGAGCATAGGACTCTATGGGAGCAAAGTAGATGAAATAATTTATTTCATTTGGGAGAAATTAAGGAAGAAGACAGGTAACATTTGAGTTTGTCATGACTTTTTAGATAAAGAAGGATGAAGACATTTCAAGAAAAGGGAACAGCACATGCAAAAGCATATGGACTGTATTGTAGATCTCCAGAACTTAATTATCTTGTATAACTG